AGCTTCATTTCTCCAGCCAGATGAGATGATGAAGTAGCTGGAGCCAATTGTCCTGCACTCAATGTTGTTGGGGTCGGGAAGGATGATTCGGTGCTCTTGTACCCCGAGTATGTCAATGTTGGCATCGTTTCTTTGCTGTTCGCATTCASCGACTCTGCTTACTGCTCTCAGAGTGTTGGCGTTAAAGGTCCCCATTCGAAGCAAGGACCTACAACGCAGTAGTGCCTCTCCACTTCTGCTGTTCTCGGACGAATCCCTCCGTCTGGGGCGGTTTGTGGATGCGTCTTCATTCAGTCTCCCTGAGTTCACAAGGGGACTAGCTTCAGCGTTGATGGCTGGGTTCCTGCACACTCCCGGTGCTGGAAGTATAGGATTTGCGTTTAGAAATTCCATGTTTCATCTTTTCAAGGCTAAATAATCCGCATGGGTCGCCAGGTCTCAAGCGGATTGATATATATATATATTATATATGTAAATAAATAAATATATCTTCAATGACTATGCATGATGGCCGGTGGCTCAAATGAGCTCATTCGCCCTTTGACAGGTTTTGTTTTTAATCCTGCTGGGGTTCATGCCACCCTCCTCACCASTGTAGACTGGTGGGGGAGCCGGTTTAGACGCCGACAACCCGTCCATGAGGCAGGTTGTACGAGAAATAATAATAAAGTTTTATTATAATGTGGAGATATTTTGTAAAGACAACATAATATTGCATTGAAGTTTTTTATCCACTCTCATGCCAATGAAAATAATAATTATTGATTCTAATATCTATTTTACGTACCTTCGTTTTTAGTGGTAAAAGTCTTACTCGACGCATTCCCATAACCTGCGACATTTCTGGCGAACAATTTGACAACGTACACTCTGTTTTTGGTGAGACCAGGAATGACGAAAATATTAGGTGTCCAGGAAGGGATGATATAGATTTTAGAGTCAATTTCCACTTTGTATCCAGTCACTTTACTACCGCCATCGTTAACTGGTTCTGTCCACCGTACAACAGCAGAAGATGCTTCGATATCTGATACATTAAAGCTTGGAGGTCCTGGTGGAACTTTAAAAAGGAAAAACACCTTTTATTTGTATCATTTATTGACGGTGTATTATCGGATGTTAACTCAGTTTTTCAGTCTTGTTTACTCACATTTAACAATAACAGTAGTCCTAGCTCTGACCACAACTTGCCTTGGGTTATTGGCTGCACTGCACTCGTACGTCCCACTCTGATTTCTTTTAATGTCTGCAAAGTGTAAAACTGCACCTCCTATGCCTTTGATGATAAATAAGGTAGAAGATTGTTTTATTTGCACCCAAGTGACAACTGGTGTTGGGGGACCAACCGCTGTACAAGTGATGTTCAAGTCAGAGTGCTCAATGGTTGCTGTTGTTGCATTTGGCATTTCTGTAAACAATGGTGTTTCTAAGGGCAAAAATATGAATTTCAAAGTTAAATTGATTCTTCATCCTTTTGAAACCGTCTCTTTTTTTACAGTACAAATAATCATTTGTTGAATATTTTCAAAATAGATAAAGAATAAAGTTTATTTTGCTTTCTGAGTTGTCATATTGATATTATTATCATATATGCTTTGCGATATCACTCATCTCTATTGTTATGGTTACGATCACTATCATAAGTGTAATCATAACTATCATTACAAGCATGCAAATAGACAAGTAGGAAAGTCAAAACAGAAAGAAAAATGCATAGTACAAAGTTATTCAAATTTTTAATTTGATGCTTTGTATTTCAAGATAATATTATTTGCATCCCTTACTTGTAACAATCAGTTGAGCTTGGCTTGTTGGCATTGAACTGAGAGAACCACTGAGTAAAACCAGTCTGCATCCATATGTACCAGAATCAGCCAGGGTTACATTTGTGATGACCAAAGTAGCTTTACCCTCCACACTCACTCGTACTGTAGGTATTCGTAATCGAACTGGACAAATTCGATAAATCTTAAATTTACGACCGTCATATGCGTCACCATACCCAATCATGAAGCTGTCGTTATGGAAATACCATCTTGGCGATTGAGAATCAAACTCTGTGTTGATATCATCAACATGGTAGTCCCACGTAAACTTAGCAGTTTGGCCTTTCACTACATACAGTTTGTCAGCAGGAACTGTGGTGAATCGAACTGCTGCATCTTGGAAATAAAACATAATTATAAGCCAACATACTTGATATGTCCTATTAATATAATCGMGCT